ATATCAATGTGGGAGATTTGTTAGGCTGATAAGAAGTAGGCAACTTTCCGTAAGTCTTTTCTCATGCTACACGGACGCTCTCGTAGCATGATAGCCTGACAGACTTCGTTTAGATTCACCACAATCGATCCTCAACGCGCGATCGGATATCTTCAAATAGCATGCCCATGCGCCCGTCTCAACGTCTCTGACCGATGCAAACCCAACTATGGCTCTTGTAATGAGGGGAGGCGATCAGTGCCCATCGAACTACTTGACGTCGCTGGACTCGTTCCTGGTGCGCATATGGGCAAAGGTCTAGGAAACAGGTTCTTGGACGATCTGCGACATGCCGATGCGCTGGTGCACGTAGTCGATGTCAGTGGGACGACAGATGCCGAAGGCAAGGCAACAAGAGGATACGATCCAAGTCAGGATATTGTATGGCTAAGAAGCGAGATTGTACGATGGATTCAAGGCAATCTAATGGAGAAGTGGGGCAGTATCAAGAGGAGGCATGTGGCTGTCAAGGCGACGGCTGTCGAAACACTGCAAAACCAGTTCTCAGGTTATGGGTCGACATCGAGCGTGGTGGCACGTTGTCTCGACCGGCTTGCTTTGAAAGAACCCCTTCAGGACTGGTCTGACGAAACTATTGAGCGCGTGGTGAATGCTTTTACCGACGAAAAGTTCCCTACGGTCATCGCACTCAACAAAATCGACCACCCGGATGCCGATAAGAACATTGCAAAAATCGCAAAGGTGCAAGACCCAAAAAGTATAGTCCTCTGCAGCGCAATATCAGAGGTCTTCTTACGGAAGTTGGCGAAACAGGGCTTTGTCAAATATACGGAGGGCAGCGAGTTTGTGGACACAAGGGAGGATTTGATTGAGCAAGGTGATCCCGACGGTGGCGGATTGAAGGAACTCGACGAGAAACTCAAGACGCGAATCGAAAATCTCAAAGATATGGTTCTATATCGCTTTGGTAGCACGGGTGTTGTGCAAGTGCTATCGAGAGCGGCCGAGCTGCTTGGATTGGTACCAGTTTTCCCGGTCAGGAACATACACACGTACACGAGTGGCTCAGCAAGTTCAACGGCGGTATTCCGCGACTGTGTGTTGGTCAAGAAGGGAAGCACGGTGGGCGATGTGTACAGGAAGGTCATGGGCGATGCACCCATGGCCTACGTAGAAACTGAAGGCGGGAGGAGAGTTGCAGAGGACGATATCGTTGCCGTGGGGAAGAATGATGTGAGTTTCTTCAATTCCTTTCTCGCTAGGTATCCATGTGGTGGTATACTGACATGAAGTAGATCCTCAGCTTCAAAGTCGGACGTGCATAGTCAAACAGTTTTCGATGGTCACTAGGGGCATGAATACCTTTTTTTCCGGTGAGCATAGCTGCAGGCCCAGTAAATAGTTGTGGCTCTTGATTGTCGCCTTGCAGTAGTTAGGCAATCGCACGATCGATTTTCCAAACTTAGGTCCATGTGCAGTGGTCTGCGCAATTTCCTGGTGATGAGTTGTCTTTGTGGTCTCCATAGCAGTGCATATTGTACGTACTTGGCCATGGTGCTGTGTATGCGGTTCCTGATCTGCAACCTTAGCCTACTGCAACAGCAGCTGCAGCAGGTGCACTAGCGTCGGCGAATAGACGGGGACGAAATAATAGCCACGCCAAGGATGGGTGCAGCATCTAGTACGATAAGATTGACATTCTGTATCGTGTGCCCATCGAACGAGGCAAAGAAGGGCCGTCGTCGAATACACATGCAGCATGTCACTCTTCGCTCACCTCCAGGATCTAGCCGTGCTCCTCCCACCCCTCCCCTCCTGGAACGGCGCAATCGCCGATTTCCGTGGAGAACGGGTATGCAGGGCTCACACGGCTTAGCGTGGTGGAACTTAACAACTAGTAGGCGGCCGTCGGCCAGCCGCGCTACATCCACTTGTAGTAGAACCTTTGAATCCATGTGTGAATTGATTGCTAATGTCTCTCCCCCCCCAAAGGTGGCGCCCACGCAGGCAAGATTGCGGGGAGTATTCGGAGCGAGAAATTCTCTTGGGGTGAGCAATTACTGAGCATCGCGTGCTTCTGTCTAGTTCTAGATGGACCCCTCCTCCATTCACCCATTAGGTGCTCGCTCGCAGCCCGCGGCCGAAAGGGCAGATATAATGCTCTCGTCTTTTTTTTGGCTCTCACGCCACATTCGCCCTCTTTGCACCACTTTCTGCTACATACTGTGTCTTATAGCTGTGGCGCCTGACTTGACCTTATTTAGTTTCAACGTCCTAGGTCGGTAAACAGGGTTCTTCCCTTGAACCCAAAAAATAACCAGTCTGCAAGCTTTAGGGTCCCTTACTTCCGAAACCCTTCCCACCGAAGCCGGGCTGGATTTCCTTTCGTCCCACACGCGAACCTCTTAATCGCGCCCCATTTCTCTTTTTTTGCTCCCAGCCTCTCTCTCTCTCTCTGTTCTCCAGATTCTTTCTCTTGTTATGAATCCGGTATAAGCTCCTATTTTTACTGGGACCTATATATGGGGTAAACGGCTTTCGTGGCAACAATCGTTTTAGGGGTCCACTTCGTCCAGCCTTGTTAGAGCCTCCGACGTTCGACCTCCGAATTTAGGACCTTTTGCCCTTTTAACAACCCAAACTTTCCCAAAAGTGCAACCCCCCCGAGAACTCCTTCACCTCCACCCCACCACAAATACCCACCGCAATGCTTCCACAGCTACCAAAATTGAGTGACTACGACGTCTCGGCTCGGAATGGCTTCTTGCCGGATGAGGTACCGCTCGACGTCTTGCCAGATCGCTACTACCAACCTTGGGAAACCGTCGTACGCAACTTTCAGAGCTTGATACTTGCCAAGCGACTCCGCCGGATAGTGGATGCGCTGCCTGTTCTCGAGACTGACCTTCTTCTCACCGAGGCCGAATGGCGGCGAGCATATTCTATTCTCAGCTTCATTGCGCATGGATACATCTGGGGAGGTGATAAGCCAGCCGATGTAAGTTTTGACAGTTTCCATATTACAAAGTCGCGCACAACTAACGGGAATTCATAGATTGTACCTCCATCCATTTCCATACCATTTCTCCAAACATGCAAGCATCTAGAGCTACCGCCAGTCGCTACCTTTGCAGCCGTCTGCTTGTGGAACTGGCGGCCACTGTTCGATGGTGAGCCTACAGATACTCTGGACAATCTTGCAACGCAGATGACCTTTACCGGTTCGCTGGACGAATCATGGTTCTACCTCGTCTCAGTGGCAATCGAAGCTAGAGCCGGACCAATCATTCCGATGATGATTGAAGCTATTGCAGCAGCTAGGCGTAACGACAGCGACACTGTAGTACAGTGTCTGAGGTCATTTTCAGAGAGGCTAGATGAGATTGGCTCACTCCTCGAGCGCATGTACGAAAGTTGCGATCCTCACGTATTCTATCACCGAATCCGACCGTTCCTCGCAGGAAGCAAGAATATGGGAGATGCTGGGCTTCCAAACGGAGTCATGTTCGACGATGGCACTGGCCAACAGCCCTATGTGCAGTTTAGTGGTGGCAGTAACGCGCAAAGCTCCATCATCCAGTTCTTCGATGTAGTCCTCGGCGTCGAGCACCGACCCACTGGCGAGAAGCGAACAGAGCCAGGGAGCCCAGCCCCAGTCGGACCGTCTCATGGCTTCATCCAAGACATGCGCAACTACATGCCCGGCCCCCATCGCAGGTTCCTCGAGCACATGGAGAGCATCGCCAATATCCGGGAATACGTTACATCGAATCGAAGAAACCGTGCTTTGACAACGGCGTACGATGCGTGCTTGGCTATGCTGCGGACTTTACGAGACAAGCACATTCAGCTCGTCTCCCGATACATCATTATCAAGTCTCGCGAGTCGCGATCACATTCCCGGTCTCTGTCACCCAAACAAGCGACTACTCAGCGTGTCAATCTTGCCAATACCATGGCTCGTACTGGCAGCAAGAAGCTTCGAGGAACCGGCGGTACGGCTCTGATTCCTTTTCTCAAGCAAGCAAGAGACGAGACTGGTGAACCGGCAATCGATGCCTGGGCTAAGCGCTTGCTCAACAACGGACCAGCCGAGTTTGGTACGCCATCTGGTGCTTTCGATGGCGTTGTAAGACTGGGCAAGGTGGCAGAGGGATTTGGCGGAGAGGTCGAGGTCGTGGGTCTTGCTGGTACCTGGAGTGTTGACGATAGTGAAGGAGGTATCTGCCATTGGTGAATGATGAGGTAAAAACGATGATCATGTCAAAAGAAAAATGCATTTTTTTGGTGTTTGGGTGTTTTGGAGGGCTTGTGGGAAATATAGCCTTGGAGGATGTTGATATCCATTTCCTTTTCTTAGTATTGCGAGAAAGTGCAATAATAAATGTATTTCTTAGTGCATACTGTTGTCTTTTTTGCTGTACTCGTAAAATATTGTTGCTGGAAAATAACTCTTTACAATAACCTTGGACTGAATACGACGCATACATCCCCAACTCCCTATCGTAATGGTGTACCAAGATGGTAAGAGACTTGTGATACAAACCTGGAAGCTGACCACGGCACAGAGAGAGAAACTATTGCATCACCCCCCATCCACGCCAACACGAATTATGTCCCGAGAATTTTCTCATATGGATGCCACATGTCTCTCGCTCCCACTCCGGCGGTAAGGGAAAGTGCCACTGTCGTCAGCGCTGCTGCTGGCGGCTGCCTTGCTGCAGGGTATTTTGGGTTGCGATTGCGCATCTCCGTATGCAAGTGGGGTGGGGGGGGCGTGACGTCATACTTCACATGCCCCATCCTGTCGCGATCTTTTTCTCAAACAAATGAGAAGAAGAAAAAGTATATATAAACCTCTTCAAACCTGCAAAGACGCGAACGAAATACATACCTGATTCTCAAACAATAAACATATTTTTTTGAAGGCTTCTTCAAGTTCCTTTGACGCAAAAGAGTATACTTAACTATATCAAAACCTGATCGAACATCAAGTAATCATGTCTACCAACGAGACTTCGACCGGCCAGTCCTACCTGGACAAGGCTGTAGGCGCAGTTCAGAGCGGTATCGGGTCTTTGACTGGTAACACTGCCGACAAGGTAAGCTATTCACATCGCTCCCCCCGCCCCCCAAAAAAACACATTACCTCGTCAAAAAAAAACAAGAGTCCTAACAACATCCCCCCCCCAAACAGGCCCAAGGCGAAGCCCGCAAAGACGTCGCAGACCAAAAACACGACCTCTCCCACACCGCCGCAAAAGCCGGTCCCATCTCCGTCACCCCCGAAGGCGGCATCGCCAAAGACTCACCGGACCGCACAAGCGGCGCGTGGAACCAAAACGTGGGCGCCGCCAAAGAAGCCGTGGGTGGTTTCCTGGGCGCCGAGGGACTAAAGCAAGAAGGTATCCGCCAGAACAAAGAGGGAAAAGGCCAGGAAGCAGCGGGCCAGGTGAATGATCTCGGAAAGGGGATTGGAGATCGTGTAGGCGGTAATATTGGGGCTGCAGTTGCGGGCATCACGGGGAATGAGGCGCAGAAGGAGGAGGCGAGACGGCAGCATGATGAGGGCAAGGCGAGGCAGAGGGGGGTTGAGGCGGATTTGCAGAAGAGGGCTGAGGCTGAGGGGGCGTGAGTATGGGTGTAGGTTTTGTGTGTGTGTGTGTGTGTGTGTGTGAGAGAGAGGAGGGGAAAGGGGAAATGAGGTGTGAGATTATACCCGGAGAGAATAGTGAATATACCCCCCTTTGATTGATTTCTGCTTGTTTTCTTCTTTTTTTTCTTTTGCGCAGCGATTTGAGGTTTGTGGTGATTTGGTTAAATTCCCAAGGTTTGCTTGTGTAGTAGAGTCTGCAAATGGGAGACTGGAAGTTTTTTTTTTCTTTTCTATTCTTTTATTTGCATTTCCATGTCGGAATCGTGTAGTTTGGATGCAATCGTGATTTGGGTATACGGTTGGAAAATACGTCTAGTCCTTCATTATAACAGATTTGTCGTTGCGTGTGAACTCTGTGGACGAAGCGGAGCTTTCGTGTTTCGGTCACATCGTATTTTGGTTGTTCGACTGGAAAACAGGGTCTTTGATATTTACCGATTTTATCTTGTCGCACTTTCCCCCAGCAGCTCGTGGTGCATGTGAGGTCTGCAAATGTGGTGGAGCTTTCGCATTGTAGCTAGTTATACGACGGGAAGATACGTGCCATGCGTTTGATCTTATCGTTCGGCTTGTTCCCGGTAGATTGTCGTTGCGTGTAAAGTGTGTGAAGGAGGCGGAGCTCTCGTAACTTGATCACGTTGCAGCTGGCTATACAGTTGGAGAATACGTGTCATGCTTGTTGATCTTATCGTGCAGTCTTTCCCAGCACATTGTCGTCTCAATAACAAATTGCAGGTCAGGTCCGAATGATCAGGAAACTTTGGGAGAAGATTGGCAATGCGCCAAGACCGTCCGGCTGTGATTTTTTTTGCTCATGCAGCATGCTTGCGTCGGTACATATTGTTAGTATGTAAATGACGAACAGGGTGATCATTCAAGGCATGAGAAAAAAAACCAGCCACAACCATGCTATGCCTTGAATTCCTAAAACCTGGCGGCGGCGGCTCCTAAGCCATTTGCCGAGCAGCCCGAGATTTCCCCAGAGTTTTTACAGCCACAGACCCACTATGAATCCATAGAACGACACCGCCACATGTTGAGGCGTTGAACATGACGATTAGGCGGCGATGCGAAAAGAGATCGACAAGCAAACGTTGTCATAGGCGCTTGCGTATCTACTGTGGCGCGTGCACGGTTGTGGCTTGTGCATGATTGTGGCTTACGCATTCGCATGATTGTGGCTTAGGGGCCAAGTTAGTAAGTTTTTTTTTGATGCGTATGACAACGGAAGAGGGCCTCGGGGGGACGCCGGGGATACTTTTTGTTACATGCGTATACGCGGTTCTGGATTCGTCCGTAGTGAGGGTTTCCATGCATGCAGCTTTCTGCGCTTACTGTACATACCCAGGTCGCTGGGGGTTTGTGCAAGTAGAAGTAAGTGTGCCTACTGTTTGCCGTGCGCTCCGTTCTCAGCGTGGCATGCGTCACCTAGGAGAGAGCGGCTCTTCCCTGTGAGCCTTGAGAGCATGGAAGCGCTGTGGTGGGCCGACCTTGGGATGGCTTGGAACCTTGGTCTGGAATCGGATGTGTCGGACGTATGACGCCAGCCACAGTGGTAGGCGCGTGTGTTGGTTGTGGCGCCAAAAACCGGCAGCGGGTGCGCGGCATCAGTCACATCCCTGCCACCCTCATCTGTTACGTCATGCTTGTGTGGTCATGGGCTTACTCCCATCAGTCTTCCATAAATACTCCGCTGCATGCCACTGTTGCTTGCCCATTCTACCACACCCTCAAGTTACATTCAAGTTACTTGTACAGCCCTTGAACACCACCAAACAACCACTTCTTCTTACCGAGAAACCCATCAGCAACCACCACCATGCCTTTCACCGCTAGGTATGTTCAGCCTTAGCCACCGCGCGCGCGCTCTTTCTACTTTTGTTGGCGGCACGATGTTAATTAGACACCAGCGACATCTGCAAGATCCTCCTTGCCATCATCCTCCCACCCGTCGGTGTCTTCCTCGAGCGCGGCTGCGGCGCCGACTTCCTCATCAACATCCTGTTGACCATCCTGGGTTACATTCCGGTGAGTTCCGCTTACCCAATACATTAGCCGATTGCAATGCAGCTAACCGAGTCATCCCAGGGTATCATTCACGCCCTCTACATTATATTCAAATTCTAGCCGGGCCGCGGACGAATGTTTACGATGCCGCGTTAACGGTTATGACTTTGCTGTCAAATCATCACGATACCCATCTTTTTCTCTTTTGTTTAGCACTACCACCACTACCACCAAAGTCTTATCCGCCTCCGCTCAGCTTGTAAATATCTCTCGATGCATCCATGCTGGGTCCTCCTAATCGGCATGGAATTAGTCGGATGACGCGGACCGAGATGGCAGCACCGGTTGGGCTTTGAGCATACGATAATGACCTGCTTTGTATCACGGCGTCCTTTATTTCCTGGGTTACTTTTTGGTTTGCTTTTGGTGCATCCTGGAGCATTCCGAGGAGCGTAGCATAATAGGAATTTAATGGGGCACTTTACAAGCTTTACTCGTGCTATCTCCATCCTGTTCGTGAATTGTGACTGAATCGTTGATTGCAGTATTTAACGCTGCAACTAAAATATGGCCCACATCTACAACTGGTCAAGCCTTGTGACAACAGGTGTTTGCATAATGTGAACAAATCATTTACCTCCAACACATTGCTTTTTCACAGCCCAATGCCTGTCATTCAATAACTGTCGCCCAAATGTCACGCGTACAAATCGACTCCCCTGCGTATGGCTAGTCTTGCGGGCGGAGCACGATGCTTGGCACGTGCCACTCGTTCTTTCCAAGGTTACGTGTTGTGCAGCATCACCAATACAACCACCACCCACGGCCATGACACATTGCCCATTTCGAACCTATGTATTCCCTTCAGCGATCAACGTCTTACTCGCAACATTCCTATCCCTCGAAGCGCAAGCCGCGATATAAATGCCGCCCGATATGAGCTATCTCACTGCTACCCTTAGCCATGCAGAAATCAATCTTATCAGCAATCCAAACAGACCGAGCTATGAGACAATTCGCGACTTAGACGTGGCTTCTCAATCGATACGAGGCAATACAGACCAGTTTGAGGAATCACTGAGGATCAAGAATACGCTCGATGCGTTCGCACGTAGAGCTGCCGTCGAGCCGAGCCTGGAAGTGCTCGCGGCCATTTTGAACTGCGAGTACAAACTCTGGAAGATGAACGAGGGGATATCAATGCGATTTAAGCCTTTCTTATCGCATTGGATTGAATCGCTTATGGTCATTGACGGGGAGCTCGCTGCGCTGCAGCTGGACACGGTCACGAATAGCCACATGAAGAATACGGTCACGACGGATGAGATTTTGCGGATCAGAGCAAGGTGTATCAAGGGTTTGCTGGTGGACAAGCCACTACCTCCAAAGGAACCAACCTGGCGCGCATACCAGCGAATGCTCGAGAATGAGGCTGCGCTGCCAGACTTCGACATTGTACCGTATATGCAGATGCTTGTGGAGACACAGATCTGGGACAGGCTACCGGAGACGCAGGCAAAAACTGTGGAAAAGCATGCGCAGAATGGGACGGAAAGGAACGGATTGCGCAAGACCAAGACACAGGGAGTCAATGGCTCAGAGTCTTGGGAAGAGGGTATGTTGCGAAAGCTCAGGGATGCACCCGATGTAGCTGCCGATGAACTCGCGCGTCTCCCTCTTGAGATTTCGTCGCTCGATTTTCTTACTAGACTCCTTGTCGATGATACCTTCGGGGAGTTTGATGTCGACGGTCCGAACATCATCCTTCGGTTTATACAGCACGCGTTACGGCTTATAGAAGCCATGGAGGCACCTCCGCCAACTTCGGAGCTGACTACAAACGGTATACCGATTGTCGAATATGGGAAAGAAGCGCAAACCCGTGCTATCAGCATCCTGCTGTTGTTTATCAAGAATTCTATGAGCAAGGGCAAGTTGGACGCTGGAATGCTCATTTTTGAGATTCAGGAGATATGCATCAGGTACCTATGGATGAAGGAAGTTCGCGAGTTCCGGGCTTGGATAGAGCAAGGGCCTTGGGATGATTGAAAGATGTGTAATACGAAATTGGTCGACAAGAAGATAGAGACAAGACGAACTAGAGCTACGACTTGGAGTATCGCTACTATTCTTGGCTATCATGTGAAGAAGGCGATGCGTCGAAACAGTATATCACAACGTTTGCTATGTGGCGAGGCTACTACGAGAGCACGAGAGTCTCGCAAACGTCCATGGAAATTTCAGTATTCTTCCAGAAAACGAATAGTCAATCCGCATATCTTCTCTTTCGTCATTGACGCGGACAACGAAACACCGGAGAAGACCATGACACGGCATTACAGAATCCAGAAACTGTGGCTTGCTGCATGTTATCCCACCGCAGTACTTGTCGAAGCTGCAATTGCCAACCTTGCTTAGATGGGAAAGTGCTTCCCGGAGTATGAGTGACACGTTGAAACCGTGTTGTTGCCATATTCGGGGGGGTGGCTTTGAATGTTTCGGAAATAATCGGGGTTGGCAGTCATTGTTCCGCAAAAGAGTAGACCACGCTAGTCCACGACCGAGTCCAAACTTTAGAGTTTCAACCCTCAATCACTGAAACAACCATCAACTTTATTCCAGCGCCGGCTGCGTGGCTAACCGTTCAACACCGGAAGACCCTGCGTGGGCGATGCTTCTTGTGGGATACTATCATCTTGACTTTGTCGGTGTATAATGTTAGGGCTTTCAAACGGGCCTTGGAAGACCGGAATTCTTACGATACAGTAACTGGACCGCAAGAGCAAGGCTGTCTACATCGAAACCTCGTTCCAGCATGTGTGTTTGAATCGCCAAGTCTGGCACAAAACATGCCTGGTGATACGAATATGCGGATCATTCTTCTCAGATGCCAAACATCAATGCAGTCGGTACCGAGGCAACACGACTGCCTCTGATCGCCTGCCTGGATACGGGACATGCTTGCCCCAATCTTCTGGAGAAGATCGTCCCACAGTGGAGTATCGCTTCGGATGCTTGGCTGTAGTGAAGTGTCCCACGCTCATCGTTCGACCTACACCGTCTCAGTCCACAGCTCAGCGTCTGTGCCCCGGGTATCACGACCTCAGTCCGACTCGATTACCGTTTTGAGGCACGGAACCAAGGGTGAATTTGATTTCCCCATCCAACAAACAGACGACTGGGCACACCGGAAACTAGGATGGGGCCTCCCGAAGTGCTTGTGTGCAGCTAAGCTTCTGGGCATTGACGCCATTACTGTTTTACACAGCAGAAGGGCAAGAGAGGCAGAGAATCAAAGTGCATATAAGACACTGGGTTCCTGCCCCCCAAGTCAAAATCATCATCATTCAAACCATTAAACCAACCAGACTCACTTTCTTCTTCTTTATTAATTCTCTCTTATCCATTCCATCCTTCTAATTTCTACTTGCGCCGGACGCTTGCTCTATTCATCTTCTTATCACGCTCAAAAAATCATTCTATTATATCACTCTTGTAAATTACCCCTAACCAACCTCACATATCACCACCATCAACATGCGTTACTCCATCGTCTTCACTGCTGCCCTCGCAGCCTCCGTCCAGGCCCACGGTGTCATCACCCAGGTCCAGGGTGCCAACGGTGTCAACATGCCCGGTCTCTCCGTCGCTGATGGCACTCCTCGTGACTCTGGTAACCCGCTTTCTGGTTCCGAGGCTGATACTTCCATCATCCGTGCCAAGGAGATGGGTGGTAAGGCGTCTGCTCTTGGACGTACCGCTTCCGGTCCTGTAGATGCTGGTGCGGCTATTGCTAAGTTCATGGGTACTGGTGCTGCTGGTGCCGGTGCCGCTGGTGCCGCTGGTGCAGCTGGCGCTGCAGGTGCTACTGGTGCCAACGCTGCTGGTGCCAATGCTGCTGGTGCCAATGCTGCTGGTGCCAATGCTGCTGGTGCCAATGCTGCTGGTGCCAATGCTGCTGGTGCCAATGCTGGTGGTGCCAATGCTGCTGGTGCCAATGCTGGTGGTGCCGGTGGCGCTGCTGGAGGTCTCGCTGGTCTCCTTG